CGTGGCGCGCCGGCGGCGGCGGCCCGCCGTCGTGCTGGCTGGGCGAGGGCGGCCCGGGCCGCCGGGCGGCGCTGGCGGCCGCGGCGGCCGCAGCGGCGGCCACGGCGGCGGCCAGGGGCGTCGGCAAGCTCAGGGGCCCATCGCGGCAGGAAAGGCAAGGTTCCAAGCTGGAGGTCATGTCGAAGGAGAACAAGCGGACAAACGGCATAAGCATAAATTTTCGGCGCTCCGCGCAGATCTCTTGGATCTGCGCTGGAGCCCCCTGACGGCGCCTCCATCGCCGCCCGCGCCAGGTGGGAGGGGGGTCCAGCGCAAATCCAAGGAATCCGCGCGGACCTCCAAAAGTGTATGTTTATGTGGTTTTCTTCCAGAAGCTCGAGGTTGTGTTTTCGCCGCTTCTCGGCGGCCTTCCATCCTCGGGATTCTCTACAGCAGCTGCGCCTCGCCGAGAGCGTGCTGCGGCTGTCTGCATCGTCCCGAGCGGGATCCGGAGGCCCGAGTTACGCCTGGAGAGCCACAACTCCTCGCGCTATGACAGAAGCACGGTTTCGGACCCTATAGGGGGCCCTCGCCGAGCCCAGGCATGCTGGCAAAAGTGTTCAGGATGAAAAGCTGGCCCCGCGGAAGGGGCCCAGACCTGAACTCCGCTTCTGTGATGGGGTAGTTGCCAGCCTAACCCAGGAGCTGTTATGCGCCCTCCTGGCCAAGCCAGGAGGGCGTGGCGTATGCACCGCTGCCGGGCTCAGGATGGGCCTGGCCAGGGAGCAGTGGATATGTGTAAATTTCGTCGCCCTACATTCCTGGCTGATCCTGCTGGGTCCCGCCTGATTCAGCCAATTCGCTCCACCTGGGCTGATCCGGCCCAGTGGCCCATCAATTGGGCGTTTACCTCAGCATTACGTCGTTCTTACTCGGGGGAGGGGATTGGCTCTGGGGGGCAGTATCGACCCCAAGCCGCCCGTGCATCGCCAATCTCGAGGGCCCCTAGACGGCGTGGTGACAACACCGTGTGGTGAGTCAACGGGAGTCGGGGTGACCGCACGGTTGAGGGGTTTGTTTGGCGATCTCTTTGGCGATCTCGGTCGATTCGGATTGGGCACCTCGGTGGCGTAAGTGGTCAACCGTGCCAGGATGCTTTTGGGAGGCCGGACAAGGGCACAAGCGCCCTCCGAGGTATCTGGACATCCGAGTCTGTGCCGTAATTGGCCGCACGTTTTTGGAACTTGGGTCGATCTCCAAGGCGACCCGGACTGCCGAGGTCCCAAGTCCGTGCGGTGACGGGCCGTGCGGTGAGGGTTTCGTTCGGGTTTCCGAGGTGCCACCGCACGGTCTGGCACCACCACCATCAGGGCCTGGCCCCTTCACCTCGCTTAGGAGCGTGTACATGCTTTGCCACTGGGGTCCAATAGTCGCCAATCGATCGCCGATGTACACTATTGTCGGCTCCAGGTCGTGGCTTCCCCCCCTCCTCAGAGGAGTGAGATGTCATGAGAATGCGTCCCAAGATCTCCAGTTACCTCCAGGGTGCCCGGATGTTCCACACGGCCTGCCGACGCGAGGGCCGCTGGACCCTTTTGAAAGGTCCGGAGCGCAGCCTGAGCCAGTGTGAGCCAATCCTATCATGGCATCATTCCCGCCCCGCCTGAGCCAGTCCCCCACCCCCCCCTCCGGCCTTCCTTCAGGCGGGGTCGGAGAAGGCCGAGGCGTTCCCGAACGCGGCGGGCAGGGGATGTCCGCAAGGCAAGGGCCCGCGCGTCTCTCGGCAGCTCGGCTGCGTCGCATTCGGTCGCGTCGCGGTCGGTTAGGGTTCGTCTGCTGTCTGCCGTGCTGCCGCCGCGTCGCCTCGCCCTTCTGTAGGCTGCTCTGCGGTCTGTCGGTCTCGCTCGGCTTTCGGTTTCGTTGTCGGTTTGGTCGGCCTTCAGTTTCGTTGTCGCCGTGGACGCCTGGGGCCCAGGTTGTTCGCAACGTAGTTAAAGAACTGCCAGGGCCCTGGGCCCGCTCATTCTACGGCATCTTCGAGCCGAATCGATCCGTGAGGGCCCCAGGATCCGAAACACGGCAAAATCGCCCGTCGTGGAAAAATGCGGCGCGACGATCTCGAAGGCATGTGTTTGGCAATTGGCATGTGCCTCCCGAGGCCTCCAGAGGCCTCCCGGGGACCTCCCGACCCAACAGCTCGGGCTGGAGCAGGGGCGTTCGCGGCGGCTCGCGCCGCTTCGGCGGTGATCAGGCGATGGAGCTCGATATGAGGCCCGGTGTTCGCCATCCCAACGTTTCCTTGGTATCGCTCGGACGTGTGCACTTTTTCCCGGCGAGGACCATCGAGGAGCATCCTTGATCATTTGGCGAAAAAACCACGCACGAAACCGAAAAAAGCACAGGAAATGGACGCCCGAGCGATGGCCAGTCGCCGGCGCATACCCGATGCATCGGGAATACCGGTATCGGTGGTATCTGTCGGTGGTTTCTCCAGCCTTCCCAAGGCCCAGCTGGCCTCAACAGGCCCCCCGAGTAGGCCCAGGGCGGTCTCAACACCTCAACCCTGGGTCGCGGAGCGCCCCAGGGGGCGCCGCGGGAGGCGGTGCCAGGGTGTGGAGACGGCCCCGGGATGGTCGGAGGGGCCTGTGGAGGCCAGCCAGGACTTTTTTGGGGGGGCTGTCTTTGCACAGTCCGAAGCTACCAGGTATTAAGTCGGGCCTGTACCCCTATAGCAAGAATATTCGAAAATAGTTACAACAAATAGTCAGGGGACGATTTTAATAAGTATGTTTGAAATATTTTGGCATCTTTTGGCTATTCTTAGTTTTTCGTCCAAAATTCGCCTGTAGGGGAACACGCCCGACCTAAAGCTACCAGCTCAATTCGGATTCGCGCCGCTTCCCAAACGCTCTGGGCCTGGGCGAGGGCTTCGATGTCCTGCCACGTTTTCTTTGAGCGGCGGTCGACGCCGAGCGCACGGCTGCAGTTCCGGCTCTATGCAGCGAGTCGGTTCAGCGTCGGGTCTCGGAGGGCATCGGCGATCCTCACTGGCAGTAAGTCGGGCCTGTCCCTCCAGCAGGAATATTCAAAATTGTAAAAAATAGTCTGGGGACGGTTTGTCGATGATTGTGTTATTTCTGGGTATTTGTTGGCTATGCTGGATGTTTCGTCCAAAATCCGCTTGTAGGAGGACATGCCCGACCTAACATTGGCATGATTTTGTTTGTTAGCGATAGAACGAAGACAGCGATCGCTTTCGATAGCGATGATTGCGATTTGCTCCAGTGCTTCTTGGCTCGGCGCTGTCCCTCCTTCCCCCCCCTCTCCGTCATTGTCCGTCGTCGACGGCCCCCCTTCATTGGCAGGGACTTTTCGCGACGCTCTCCAGAACATTTCAAGCATTTCTCGCCCCCCCCGCGCCAGACGAAGTGCGGCTTTCCGACCCTCAGAGAGGGCTGGTAGGAGTGCCGCGCAGGAAGAGGCGAGCAAATCACAGCGGCGTCGTTGACCCTCAGGCCGCGGGCCCCTCCTGGGATCCATCGCGGCCAGCTCCTCGTCCCTGGTCGAGCCTGGCGGTCTCGTTGCCCGAAATGGGCCCCGTGCGCAATCGAGAAGCAGTCTCTCCAGACATGCGATGTCTTGATTTGTTGGATGCGCTGTCCCCGGAGGTCTCGCTCCCTGTCCCCAGAGACGGTTCTTCATCCCAAGTCGTCTTGTTGACGGTCCTGATGCCTTCGTTGCCACCAGAAGCCGAAGTTGGCCAAACCAAAACCTTGCTGTCGCCATTTTTCACGACGCGAGCACGTCTGGGTCCCACTCAAAGTCGCAGCGAGGGGAGGTCAGGAAGGTCCAGCGCGACCTCAACAATCCCAAGCGGCCTGGGCAGCAGGCAGGGGACCTGGGCATGATGCCGCGAATCGGCTACCCGGAGGGTGCCCTCAAGGACTGCGCCCCGACGAGGAGCAGGCAATGCCAAGGGGGGTCGCCAGTATGGGGGTCGCCAGCTCCTCAGGACCTAGGTTCACCACAGATACCAGCAGCGCTGCTCGTCCACGGCTGGATCCTCTGATAAAGTTCGGTCAGAAGGCACCCCTGGAAAGGTCTGAGTTTTGACCCCCCAACGGTTCGACGATCAACGGTCGAAGATATGTTCGAGGATTTTCGGCGTGTTGGAAGGTTCTGGAGGGCTTTGTGGGTTCTCATGGGGTCGTCCTCGTCAAGGAGGTGGCGACCCCACTGGTGAGCCCCCTCGGCATCGCCTGGGGGTGGAGGGATGCAGGGACGGAGGGAGAGCAGACGCAGACCGCCTCGCGCCGTGAACAAACTCTGATGGACAGCCTCGGAGCACGTCTCTGCCTCATGGGAGGCACTTGGCCGGGCATCCCTGGAGGAGTGAGAGGTGAGCAGGCATCCCTGGAGGACTGGGCATCCCTGGAGGAGCTTGACTGGGCATCCATGGAGGAGATGCTGAAGCAGGAGGGCAGGAGGGAGAAGGGAACAGGGCAGGCCCCCGAACAGGAGCAAGGAGACGGAGGGAGGAGGCAGAGGATGAAGCATGATGAGGTCTCATGAGGTTACAGCCCCAGGGCCTTCCAGGAGGTGGACTGGTGGAGGGAGGGAAGAGTAAGGATGGCGAGAAGGAGATGGAGGAGTAGGAGGAGGCGGAGGAGGACCAGTGTAAACCCAAGACTCTTCAACGAGCTGGAATGCACCCTCCCTCCAAGCTCCCTCTTCATAGGCCCCCTACAGGGATTCCTTTCGACTGAGGGAAGTGCCTCGTTTGGGGACAGCCGTGTGAAAATCCTGAAGTGTGCCAACACACCGTTATCAGGATTGTAACGCCACGAGTCAACCTGACCGTTGCGTCTTGACGATCCTGAATCGCGCCAGAACGCCGTTCCTAGGACCTCAGCACAGCGAACCAACGCAACTGTTACGCCCTGACGTTCCCGAATCGTTCCGAAACACCGCTTCTGGTACGTTAGCCATGAGGGCCATTTGAACCCGTTCAAAGTTTTAAGACGAATGTGTGCGGCATTAAACCGAGAACAACATTTTGAAACGAGCCGCGCTCAATCCGTGAAACTCTGGCACCTGGTTAAAAAGACTATGCGCGGCGCTAAGGCGAGAGCCACATTTTGAAAACAAATCGTCTCAATCCGTGAAACGCTTGGATCTTTCTAATACTAATACGAATGCGCGCAGCGCTAAGGCGAGAGCCACGTTTTGACCACCGTCCGCTCTCCATATGTGTAACGGTTGCCAGCTTTTCAGCTTTCGGCTCACACATGGTAAGGAAGTCTCAGGCGAAACGCCCCCGCCAGACCTGCCGACTGGCCTCGGGGTGCGACAGGGAGGAGTTGTTCATAAGGAAGAGATGTGGAGGAGGATGAGGAGGGGGGAGGAGGAGGGATAAGGATGAGAGTGGATGAAGAGGGATGAGATTCGGTAAGTATGCAGAAGTGTCATGAAGTATGATGAAGTTCCATGAGTTTACAGGCCCAGGGATTTCCAGGATGTGGACTGGTGGAGGGAGCGAAGAGTGAGAAGATCGAAGAGAGGGAGGGGGAGGAGGAGGAGGAGGAGGAGGAGGAGGAGGAGGAGGAGGAGGAGGAGGAGGAGGAGGAGGGGGGAGGAGGAGGCGAGGGGAGCAAGCAGGCGTTGGATTCGGAGGTTTTGGAGGAGGGCAGACGTGGCCGTGAGGATGGGTCACGGGGGGCGTGGAAGGTCCCATTCTGCTTGGGGGCGCGCCAGGCCTGCATCCCGCTCTCGCTTGGCGCGCGGCGTGGCCTACTACCTCTCGGAGAGGGCTGGAGTCGCCAGGCCATCGAAACATCGAGGGCGGAAGCAGAATCAAGCTCAGAGCCGAGATCGCCTTGCCAGCAACTGGCCATCAGCTCTGCTTTGCCTCCCACGGTCGATCTGCACGCTCCTCTCTCGCGGCCTGGTCTGGCCCAACAGGTCCGGCATCGCCGAACTTCATACCAGGCTCAAGTTCCCAGCCTCGATCTCGTCCGTCCTCGCCCGGCTGCCGTTCCTCCGCCCACCCCCTCCCTCCTTCGCCTGTCTGCAGGCGCCCACGAACATCTGCAGCCTTCCATCCCTGCACCGCCCACGACCACCCACATCCGGAGCTTCTGGAGTCCTGCGCTGGGCCTCTGGCGAGGGGCGGATATGGATACCATTCCACCCGCAGGGGCCGGCAGATATTCACGCCCACCCTTCCTCCGGATCCTGAGTCACGGCCTCAAAGAGGTGATTTTGTTTTTATGTATTCAGGAGGAGAAAAAACACAGACACAAAGAGGTGATTCAGTTTTTTTTTCTGGCGATGCGGCCTAGCCCTCCTCTCTCTCCGCCCCGCCGCGGCCCACCTCCGACCCCCCCCCCCCGTACCCTCCGCTGCCCGTTCCTGTTCCTCGCGCGTGCCTGCGGTGGCACGGCACAGTAAATTGCATTACGCCTGAGAAAACCCAATCCGTGGATGATCTGAAAATTGGTAATATGGACTTGAGATCGATAATGCGGTCGATAGTGGAATCGATAGTGAGGACGATTGAAAGGTCGATCGTGAGACCGAGAGTGACATCGATTCAATGAGATCGATATTGAGATCGATCGCGAGATCGCTCATGCGATCTCTAGTGAGATCGTTTGTGAGATTGATAGTGAGACCGATTGTGAGATCGATGGTGAGGTCGATCGAGAAGTCGGTAATGATATCGACGTTGAGACCGATCGATAAGAAGATCGATCAGGAAACGGGGCAACCTGGGAACCTCGCCGCCCTCCGAAATAGGCCCGGAACCCGGAACCCGGGAACCCGGGAACCAAGCCTGTCACCAAAATCGGCGGGGAATTGTCGCCAAATCCTTCAACTTCCGCCAGGACCCCTTCAGTGCAAGCACCGATTCGGGGAATGAGCCCTGCGCTCAGACGGCGCGAGCGCGCGGAGAGTCCAGCCATATATCTTGTTCGGACTGCGCGCTCGGGGAGCCGTGCCCTGACAGGCCGTCTCGGCGCGCGTGCTCCTGAGCCCCCTCGCACTGGCAGGAGTGCGACAACAGCCCCAACTGCTTCTCGACCACCACGAGCGTCGTGGACGAGCAGTACCACGACATCAAGCCCTGGGTGTTCAAGGGCAAGACCCCCGAGCAGGCGGCAGCCGCGCGGGCTCCCCGAGGGGCCTGTCGTAGCCTCTGCATGGTTGCCACAGTCAGCGCTCGAGGGCCCGTCGCCCGCCAGCCCGATCTCTGAGAGCATGCTGGTGGCAAGGTGATGTGTTGGCCCGGGTGGGCCTGGCATTCGTTCGGTGCCACGGGGAGGGGGAGGAGGAGGAGGAGGAGGAGGAGGAGGAGGAGGAGGAGGAGGAGGAGGAGGAGGAGGAGGAGGAGGAGGAGGAGGAGGAGGAGGAGGGGGTGGGCCTGGCATTCGTGCAGTCAAGGCGCTGAGTCGACTACGCGTAAGGGGGGCCCTTCGCCGGAGTGACCTTTGGTGCGGGCCCACTGGGGTCCCCCGATGGCCGAGCGCGGTGCGGTGGTAGCGTCTTGCGCGCTTGTGTTTGGTCCCCCCGCGGCCCCCCAGAAGCCGCGCACCAAAGGTCACTCTCACCCAGGGCCACTCCTGCGTGTAGCCGACTGAAGCAAGGACCGCGTTGGGTGTCGCAGTGGCTCTGCTTCCCGCGCCGCTCCTGAGATCTGGATCGGGGAGCACATGCGAGGCCGGGGCCGGCCGGGGCCAGAAGAGCCCCTTCGTCCCTTGTTCGGCGCCACGAGGAGGAGGAGGAGGAGGAGGAGGAGGAGGAGGAGGAGGAGGAGGAGGAGGAGGAGGAGGAGAAGGAGAAGGTAGGGAGGGAGGAGGAGGAAGGAGGAGGGAGGATGGGGAGGAGGACGAGGAGGAGGGAGGAGGAGGAGGAGGAGGAGGAGGATGTGACGGCTGGACTCTGAGACCATGCTGGCGGCCAGACGTTGTGCTGGCCCGCTCGGGCCTGGCCTTCGTGCTCGCCGCTCGCTGCAGTGCTGTTGGAGCCGCGCGCTCGCCCGATTGCGGCGGGGGGCTCGACGTGAGCACCTCCTCGGGAAGGCGCCGACGCGCCTGGCCGATGGAGAACGAGCGGAGTCTGACAGGGTGGGGCTGGTGCTTAGCGGGCCCTGGAAACGACAGGGCCGTTTTTTTGCCGGTTCCGACGCGGTTGTTTTACCGGTCCCGTCGCCGTTTGTTGCTCCAGTTCCAATCCTGGAGCAGTTTTGTTGCCGTTTCCGGTCGCCGTTTTTTTGCCGTTTCCATGTTCAAGACGCGCTTCGGGAACGGTGAACACAAAACGGCCTTGCTGTTTCCGGGGCCCACGAAGGGCCGGTGTACGATACAGCCAGGGCGCAGACAGAAGAACTTGTTTGGGCTCAGGAGGGGCTCCGGTCATCGTGCCGCTCCCCAATGGTTCGAGTCGTGGGCCTCGTTCGTGGCCCGGGCTGGCCGTGGCCAGACCAGCCCCTCGGTTCCTTATCTGGCGTTCCTCGTGTCAGCACGTTGCCCCCCTGTGACATGTGTATTTACGGGGCGCGCATCTGTGGCATCCTTGGCAGGTGGTTCGCGCATCCATGTTAGCAGGTCTGCTCCTCTGCCAAGCTCGCGCATCTCCACTTCTGCAACCTCTAGCTGAGTTGTGCGCTCACTGCGTGGGTCGCCTGCGCTGCACACTGTACGCTCGTGTTGCTGCTTGTCATTTTTTGCGCACTCGCAGCCCGCTGACACTTGGGAGCTCTCTTGCTGTAGGAGAGCAGGAACCGGCGGACTTCGGGAATTGGGCTTGGCGCTTACCAGCAGCAGCAGGTCGGCAAACGACCATCCCCTCAGGCCATGACGGAGGTGAAAGACGTTCTGGCGGCGTACGAGCCTAGTCAGCAGGACATCGACGGAGGCGGTTTCAAGGTCTTCGCCGAAGGCGCTTGCGTGCCCCGCGGGGCAAGTGGCGACGAGTAGCAGCATTCGCTGCGATTGATGTGCCTAGTAGCCGACAGCAGGAGGCATCGCACCAAGAGGAGGTATGTAGTTTGATGGCGGTGGGGAAATGGAGCTCGTGGGTCCTCGCCAGACAAATGCAGAGCAAGCAGATCCCTGTGCTCCCGCACGTCTACTTTTAAACTGGGCCCCATTATAAGTGCCCTTTTGTTTTCCGTCCTTCCTCCCCGCAGTCACGCTCGCTTTGATGGACTGTTCGAGAAGCCCGACCGCAGTCTGGAGACTCTTAGCGCCGCTTTTCGGCCCCTGGGCCATCGAACTCCTGGACAAAAAGAAAGGTCTGAGGCCACACATCAAGTTGAGCCAGCTGGAGCTCTGGGTAGGTACGCGGTTTTGTCTGAGCTACTTCAGCTTGTCCCTGACCTGCGCGGTCGCATTTGTCCCAACCATCCTGTGGTGTTGGGTCCCCGTTTTAAAGAGACAGCGCCCAGCGTCTCCTTCCTTCCCCTCCTCGTCCTTCCCTCCTTCTCCCCCTCCTCTCTCATCCCCCTCCTTGCCTCTGTCCTCCGCACATCAACCATTTCGGCACACCCCTCACACGCTTCTTGGTCCCATAGGAGCTCCACCGAAGGTCCCCGTGGCGCAACCGCATGCGTCCGCGCAGCCAATATCGGCACACCCTTCACGCGTTTCGTGGCACCATCGGGAGTTCATCTCAAGGTCCCCGTGGCGCAGCCCGCATGCGTCCGCGCCAAGCATTTCGGAACACCCCTCATACGCTTCACGCTTCGTGGCACCATCGGGAGTTCCACCCAAGGTCCCCGTGGCGCAGCCCGCATGTGTCCGCACCACGCATTTCGGAACACCCTCTCACACGCTTCGTGGTCCCATCTTATTGAACTTCACCGAAGACCCTCGTGGCGCAGCCAGCATGCGCCCGCGCCACCCATGTTGGAGCACCCCTCACGCGTTTCGTGGTCCCATAGGGAGCCCCACCGAGGATCCCCTGGCGCAGCCCGCATGCATCCGCGCCACCTACTTCGGCACACCCCTCACACGTTTCG